ACTATATGAAACATTGTATCGTTGATACATTTTTTTAGCTATATCACCCAGCCCTAAGTCATAGGCTGGCCTTAAAACCTGAGTAGTCTTTCTGAAAGTGCTACCCTTCATTCCACATAAATTTTAAACATCTTATAGTTTGTTATTACATGTCCAGTCACTAATTCTAAAGCCGTAATGATGCAGTTTAAACCAGCAGAACAAAAAAGTAGTGTTTCTCCATAGCTGTAAAACTGGTTCCAAAGCGGTGCTCTTCACTCACCTGGCCGTTCAGTTTGAAAGTTGAGCTTTACCTTGCATTCTTTCTTACTGATGTTTTTGTGTTATGTGCAGGGTCACACTCCCATTGACCTGGCGCACCAGGTGCACAGCCCTCTGCTCATTCACATGCTCAGTGTGGTGAAGACAGAACGAATGAAAGCCAACTCCACGTGTCTCAAACTGCTCAACAGATACAAGGTACACTCATGCTCAGACACACTCAGGCCAACAAGTTCAGCTTCGAAAAAAAGTTTCAATTTGTGATGTAGATTTAATTCACTAAAATCTGGAGTATTATTCAGATTATTCTGGTATTTTGAATTTGAACAAACCTCTAATTTAAACTCATGTTAAATTAGATGCATTTGTGCAATGGATATGACTATATATAATAGTAATAATATAGATTATAATACTTACTATTATTATTATTATTATTATTGGATATGTGGATGTTATATGCTTATAAGATGCTATATGAATATGATCTCTAATAGTAGTAGTAGTAGTATAGTAATAGTAACATTTCTAAAATGTAAACATTAAATTAATAATGTATATTTTATGTACTTAATATTGTGTAATTCATAAAAATATATTTTTATTATTTTAAATGTCTAATGTGATTTTAGTTATTGTTGTCTCAAAAGCAAAATAAATAAATAAATTTCCTAAAGAAAATGGGAAGCATATAGTGAAAAATGGTGTTTCATTGCATATGAATCCCAGTTTTAATGGTTGGATTTGTAACAACTGTTCCAGGCCAGCTCACACACACACCGCTCTCACTAACTTTATTGAAGAAGACGTGAGGCAAGTACTTGAAATCCCAGGGCTGTATTTAACCTTGAATTAAGCTTTCAGAAACAAAAGCAGCCAATTTCTCACATAATGTGTGTTTGGCCCTGGAGAATTCACCATTTTTAGGCTTTTATTAAACAAGAAAATAACATTCCACTTATTCTCTGACCCACATTCCTCTGCTGTAACCCTGAGTTTTCATCGCAGTTGAAAAGACTTCATTATTCAGACTGAGTGTGTGTGATGGTGTGTATGTGACTGTGTGTGTTTCAGGTCTTTCTACTGTGTGTGTTCAGTGTTGTTGTGGTGGGAGCCATCGGTTCTATATTAGACATGAAGACAGAGTCCTGGTTATTGAAGGGTGTGCTGCTGGTCTGCGTCATAGCTGTGATCAACCTCACTTCAAGGTGCCGATTGAGCATCAACAAACACACTGACTTCACTGACTCATCATACATATGGATTTAAAAGACCCTGTTACTACAATATCACTCTTATCATTTTTACAACAAATGTATTGAATTGTATATTATGTGACAGCTTGTCTGTCTAAAGTGAAAAAAAACATTTTATGTTTAATATAACTATATATATATATATATATATATATATATATATATTAGTACTAATTTTAAATTGCTCTGATTTCAGTATAAATATTTTTACATTTAAAAATATAATTATGAATTGAAATAGTATATATATATATATTTTTTATAATTTCAGATTTTTAAGTAAATAATTCAGAATACTGCACACTCTCAGAAACAAATGCTTTATCAATTGTTTGGTATTGAAATCTTTCAAAGAAAAAACAAAGAGAGCGAGACAGATCATGGCAGTATTTTTGGCCATTGCACATACATTTGATAATTAAGCAGATGCAAATATGTGAATAGAATTACTGTGTGTGCAATAATATTGACTTCCTCATGAGGGCACTGTAAGCTCAGTAAAACATTAACATGTTTAGCCCAGTGGTTTTCAATCCTGGCCCTGGGGGCCCACCACTCTTTTGTATGTCTCTCAGATAAGAGCGGTGGGTCCCCAGGACCAGGACTGAAAACCACTGGCTCAGCCTGAGAGTGCCACTTAAAGGAACACTCTACTATTTTTGAAAATAGGCTCATTTTCCAACTCCTCTAGAGTTAAACAGTTGAGTTTTACCGTTTTCGAATCCATTCAGCCGATCTCCGGGTCTGGCGGTAGCACTTTTAGCCGTAGCTTAGCATAGATCATTGAATCTGATTAGACCGTTAGCATCTCGCTCAAAAATGACCAAAGAGTTTCGATATTCTTCCTATTTAAAATTTACTGTAGTATTGTATAATATTGCCCTGACAGGACCACATATTGTAAACATTCTACAACGTTTCCTAATAATCAAATTATTTCAAAACCTTGTTTTGCAGATGAGAAAGCCAATGAGAGCAAATCACTGCTTTTCCTGTAATGCCTGTGTCGCTAAACAGGACCACCACTCCATTTGGATCAATGGCTGCATAGGTAACATGCTCAAACTAAGATGTTTTATAGACTTCCTTCTCTCTCAGTTTTTGCTCTCATTATGAATCACTCATGCTAACCTCTTCTTACAGGGGCCAGAAATCACCCGTACTTTGTGCTTTTCCTGGTTGCTCTGAGCTTTCTGTGCATGTGGATGTTCTACGGCAGTATCATGTGTAAGTCACAACTTCAACTCCAATGTACACTACCATTCAAAAGTATGTCTCTTATGCTCACCAAGGCTGCATTTATTTGATTGAAAATGCAGTAATAACAGTAAAATAATTTCGAAATTTTATTCAAATATTTTTATTTGAATATATGCTAAAATGTAATTTATTCCTGTGATGCAAAGCTGAATTTTACTCCAGTCTTCAGTGTCACATGATCCTTCAGAAATCATTCTAATATTCTGATTTGCTGCTCAAGAAAAATTTCTCATTATTATCAATGCTCAAGCGTATTTTTGTGGAAACCATGATTTTTCCGATTCTCTGATGAATAGAAAGTCCCCAGATTTTTGAATGGTAGTGTATATATTAAGAGTTGATGTCTGTAAAATACAGCATCTTGCATTTTTAGTCTCTCTAGAAGAAAATGTTAATTTAAAAAAAAATGTGCGTGTTTCTCTGTGTGTAGACTGGTCCAAACACTGTCCGCTGCACTACACAGAGGAGGGCCTATGGGGGGCGGTGACCTCTCTGACGAGCTGCTCTCCCTGGGTGCTCTATATCTTCTGCTTTGCTTTCTTAAACGCTTCCTGGGCCTTCATCCTGCTTTTGGTGCAGCTCTACCAGGTGAGTGTGACGAATAAACAGTGAAACATCCCAGCTAAATATATTAGGACATAAGAACCAGAGTGAATTATTTTTGTTGTGGTGGCTGCTGACAAATACAATGGCATTTCTTACTCTTTTACCTAGAATTTTGCATAACACGAATATTAGTATGATAGATCATAGAAAATGTTGAATTTTACATTGGAAACTAGTATGCTTTTTGAATTATGCCCTGATATTATATTTGCCTAATATCAACTTACTATAAAAAAAAAAAACACAAATATTAATCCTCAATATCTTGTGTCCTCTTTCTACAAAAATATAACAGCAGCTTTGAACAAAGCGAACACTGATAAACGGTAGGGATGTGACGGTGAGGAAATTTTCACACCGGTTAATCAACGTGTGACAACACCGGTAATACCGGTATCACCGTTGGGGTGGAGGGTGTTAGTTCATTTGAGGTTCCCTCTTTTCTTCGCTTTCATATGGCTTGAAAAAGCGCCCTGTGCATTTTACTTTCACTTTCAAATTAGCGGCAATTCGGCGTTGATTCAATTCAAGCAACAACAACGTCAAACTCAGAACTTTTGTTAACAAAACGAATACAAATACACCATATATGCCTATGCCTAATAAAATAACAAATTACTTAGGCTACACAAAGTTTAAATAGGTATATAAAACTGAAAATCAGCAAACACTGTGGAACCAAATAAATAAGAAACGAATGTTTAAATAAACTTCCAGTCAATAGGCTTTTCAAAATCTAAAATATTGCCAAACAGGCGCCTTTGCATTTCCTTTCTAAACAATCTTCTGCCATCGTCTTGTCTTTCTCACCTCACTCTTGTCAGTCAGCTCGACTCACTCTCCTCACGTGATAAATCAAATCTGACGTTCACGCATGGTTCGGCACGCTGCATTGAGCGTTTAGTTTTTAAAAGTGTCTGTCCTCTAACTGAACTAGGCTAAATTAATTTTGTTACTATAAATAAATCTAAACGACGGTGGGGGGCGGTGCCGCGGTGTTGCACCTTAACAACAGTGACAACCGAAAACACCGTCTATCGCAGCAAGCCTAATAAGCGGTCTTAATAACAAAATGATGTTAAAATTATTAATAATTAATAACAGTGTTGCTAACTACAGTATTGTTAACTATAACTTTAAAATCTTAGTAATTGAAATAATGCTGAAATAATTGTTTTATTAAAGTTGAATTAAAAATAGTTAAATATATATTTTAAAAAAGCACAGAACAAAATTACTAAAACTTAAACTAAAATTTAAATAAAAAATGAAAACATAACAAAGGCTACTTAAAAAAACGTATAAATACGTATGCTTATAAATGCTATAGTAGTAAAAACAAATGTGTGCACAGAGTCCTCATAGTTTGCTTTGTTTCCTCACAGATCGCGTTCCTCGGGCTGACGACGGCCGAGAGAGCGAACCTGATGCAAAGACAGAGAAAACTCCCTCAAGCCTTCTCTCTCAGACAAAACCCATTCAAGTAAGGCTGTTTTCACTAGTTTAGGGTTAATAACACTCATAAAGTTCTTATTTTTGAATCTTGTTTCTTCTCTCATAGTCTTGGAGTGGTGAGGAACCTGGTGAACTTCTTCCAATGGCGTTGCTGTGGTCTCTGTAAGCCCATGGTGCTGGACTGGACTCAACAGTATCCCATGGGTCTCAGCAGAGACCATCCCATGTTCAGCGGCCCCGATGCTGTTTGACCCCCAGCGATCAGTCACCCACTCAGGGAGAGCGACGTCCCCAGTTATGGAGCCATTGGTTTGATTTTAATGCCTTTTTAGTGATGGAAATGAAGAAGATATTATATTTGCCTAATATCAACTTACTATAAAAAAAAAAACACAAATATTAATCCTCAATATCTTGTGTCCTCTTTCTACAAAAATATAACAGCAGCTTTGAACAAAGCGAACACTGATAAACGGTAGGGATGTGACGGTGAGGAAATTTTCACACCGGTTAATCAACGTGTGACAACACCGGTAATACCGGTATCACCGTTGGGGTGGAGGGTGTTAGTTCATTTGAGGTTCCCTCTTTTCTTCGCTTTCATATGGCTTGAAAAAGCGCCCTGTGCATTTTACTTTCACTTTCAAATTAGCGGCAATTCGGCGTTGATTCAATTCAAGCAACAACAACGTCAAACTCAGAACTTTTGTTAACAAAATGAATAAAAATACACCATATATGCCTAATAAAAGAACAAATTACTTAAGCTACACAAAGTTTAAATGGGTATATAAAAGTGAAAATCAGCAAACACTGTGGAACCAAATAAATAAGAAACTTCAAGCAACAACAACGTCAAACTCAGAACTTTTGTTAACAAAACGAATACAAATACACCATATATGCCTATGCCTAATAAAATAACAAATTACTTAGGCTACACAAAGTTTAAATAGGTATATAAAACTGAAAATCAGCAAACACTGTGGAACCAAATAAATAAGAAACGAATGTTTAAATAAACTTCCAGTCAATAGGCCTTTGCATTTCCTTTCTAAACAATCTTCTGCCATCGTCTTGTCTTTCTCACCTCACTCTTGTCAGTCAGCTCGACTCACTCTCCTCACGTGATAAATCAAATCTGACGTTCACGCATGGTTCGGCACGCTGCATTGAGCGTTTAGTTTTTAAAAGTGTCTGTCCTCTAACTGAACTAGGCTAAATTAATTTTGTTACTATAAATAAATCTAAACGACGGTGGGGGGCGGTGCCGCGGTGTTGCACCTTAACAACAGTGACAACCGAAAACACCGTCTATCGCAGCAAGCCTAATAAGCGGTCTTAATAACAAAATGATGTTAAAATTATTAATAATTAATAACAGTGTTGCTAACTACAGTATTGTTAACTATAACTTTAAAATCTTAGTAATTGAAATAATGCTGAAATAATTGTTTTATTAAAGTTGAATTAAAAATAGTTAAATATATATTTTAAAAAAGCACAGAACAAAATTACTAAAACTTAAACTAAAATTTAAATAAAAAATGAAAACATAACAAAGGCTACTTAAAAAAACGTATAAATACGTATGCTTATAAATGCTATAGTAGTAAAAACAAATGTGTGCACAGAGTCCTCATAGTTTGCTTTGTTTCCTCACAGATCGCGTTCCTCGGGCTGACGACGGCCGAGAGAGCGAACCTGATGCAAAGACAGAGAAAACTCCCTCAAGCCTTCTCTCTCAGACAAAACCCATTCAAGTAAGGCTGTTTTCACTAGTTTAGGGTTAATAACACTCATAAAGTTCTTATTTTTGAATCTTGTTTCTTCTCTCATAGTCTTGGAGTGGTGAGGAACCTGGTGAACTTCTTCCAATGGCGTTGCTGTGGTCTCTGTAAGCCCATGGTGCTGGACTGGACTCAACAGTATCCCATGGGTCTCAGCAGAGACCATCCCATGTTCAGCGGCCCCGATGCTGTTTGACCCCCAGCGATCAGTCACCCACTCAGGGAGAGCGACGTCCCCAGTTATGGAGCCATTGGTTTGATTTTAATGCCTTTTTAGTGATGGAAATGAAGAACAGACTGAATGCTAATTTGGATAATCATTTGTTCTGTTTGCAAGAACATCCACCTTTTCTATTTGAGCGAAATATATGTGCTGTGCGTTCAAGGTTAGATTTTGCCTTACAGCTTATGTTGTACATAAGGATGAATACATGTTTATAAGCATACGGATATATTTTGAACAGAAATATTTTGTAAGGTACGGTAAGATCACGTTTTGGGTTTTACTCCCAAGTCCTTTTACAGGAAGTGACCACTATATGCTCTTTGTGAAAAGATTCGTAAATCAGAGCAATTTTATTTCTGCAAATTTAGTAGCTGATATTGGACACATGCTGAAAATCGGATTTCTTGTCATTTTGAGAACCGTAAATCCCTTGATGAGTCAAAACGCATTTGAAATGACTTGACGCTACGGTCAGATGCATTACAACCACAGCATTTATAGCATTATACATGCAGAACGATTCATATCATTTAAAATATTTTATTAGCTGTTAGTATCGTTGCCTTTAATAAGTAATGTTTTCAAAGGCAGTTGTTCTTTTATTTATGCCTTTAATAACCACTGTGTAGTACAGGGCCGTGTCTGAGAGCATCAGCTTGCTCTTTACTGCAGTTCTCAATTCTATTCATTATACTTTATTGTCCAGTATGTCATTATAAGGGAAAAGTGCTGTTCTTGAATCCTGCTCTGTGCTTTGGAATAAATCAGACCACTTTTGTAATTTGCTGGTCAGAGAGTGTTTCTCTAGGTCTAACAAAATACAAATAACAAAAAAAAAATTTTTTTATTGATTAATAGTTAATATTGAGTAACTTGCATTACAGCCACTATTATCAAATAGTGAAGTGCAAAAGTTTCGGAGCTATATCTCTTATGCTCACAAGTGCTGCATTTGATCAGAAATGCAGTAAAAACTGAATTATTGTGAAATATTATTTCAATTTACAATAACTGTTTTTTATTCTATTAATGTTCCTGTCATGCAAAGCTGAATTTTCAGCAGCCACTACTCTAGTCTTGTCACATGATCCTTCAGAAATCATTCTAATATGCTGAATTTATGTCTGTAAAACAATTTTACTAGTTACAGATCGTTTTTGAATCAATGTTGAATGACACATATTATCCTTTATTTACTCTTTATTTATGTTTTTATGCTATGACATGTGCTATACAGTTACAGTAGTTAGGATTCATATAATTGTAATACATCTCTTTTATGCTGCATAGCATCAACATAAGATCACGTCTAAAGCTGAAGTGTGTAATTAAAACCCTTTCCCAACTTATCATGAAGAGAGATAAGTCAGCAATTGAGGTTCTCAAAAAGTGTAAACATTTTGCACCATCACAACATTAAACTGCTTAACCACACAATCCACACACAGGAACATTGGTTCAACCAATGGTGTGAGTTTTGGAGGGGTTTGTTCTTTTATTCTGTTTGGAACTGACACACTTCAGCTTGAAGTATAACGCTGGCTTTTCACTGCACACAACAAATAGCGTTTGATAGACCACTTTTTTTTTCACCACGGAATAAAAACAGTCAATTACGGCTTTTTATCTTATAATTCTGCGTTTACATCTCACAATTTTGAAAAAAAAATTTTTTTCAGAATTGCAAGAGAAAAAGATTCAAGTCAAAATCTCCTTTTTTTTTGTTTTTTACCCCCTGGTGGAAACAAGCTTCTAGACATTTCTGTTAACATGAACAAAACACTCGGCATAATGCAATAGATTAAATAAACATCAGGCTTTAATCACTGCAATATTTGTGCTCTTGATTGCATGAATTGGCCTGTAATGGCTATTGAACAATAACTAGGTCTATCTGAAACCGCGTCTATTGATTGGTTAAGTGATGTTAATGAGATGGCAGAGATCTTGGGGCCTCATTTGATTGTTTGTACCTTTACAGTAGAGCTCTCCATCTTTATCCGTCACTGTGGTGGATTCCAGGCTCTTCCCACACAGTAAACAGCGGAAGCAGGTTTTGTGCCAGGGCTGTTGGATCAGAACCAGTCACAGTCTGATAAATTATTACACAGTGCTGCGGCTGACCTGTGACAGCAGTATATTGCAGAAGTGCTGAGAAGGGAAGACTTTCTCAAAATATGCTTATATTTGTGTTTGAATTGTTTAATTTTAATTTATTTCATATCATAACACCGTATAATGTATCAAAACTCTCGAATCAGCTTCTTGCTTTAATTTTAGCTGCAGTTTTACCTTTCCAGCACCCATGACTTTCTCTGCTGCATAAACGGCTTTGGAGCAGCGAGGACAGCGATCCGTACTCCCAAACTTCTGTGTAAACTTGCTTGGGTTTGAGTTAGCAGATGCAGGATGGGGAGCTTTGGGCCTGAACGTGTTAAAAACATACACATAAGAATCACAAAACGGCAATAACAAAACAAAACAAAAATGAAAAACTCTAAATTATTCTTCTAAATACTATTAAAGTGATACTCTATCTTTAAAGCAATAGTTCACCCAAAAATGAAAACTTGCTGAAAATGTACTTTATTTTGAAGAACCTTGTTTCTTCATCAGAACAGATTTTGAGAAATTTAGCATTACATTACATGCTCACCGTTTGATCCTCTACAGCAAGTGTGTCAAAGTCAATTCCTGGAGGGCCGGAACCCTGCAGAGTTTAGATTCAACCCTAATTAAACGCACCTGATCCAACTAATCAAGTTGGAAACTACATGGTACGTGTGTTTAAGCAGGGTTGGAACAAAACTCTGCAGGACTCCGGCCCTCCATGAACTGAGTTTGACACCCCTGCTCTACAGTGAATGGGTGCCGTCAGAATGAGAGTCCAAACAGCTGATAAAAACATCACAATAATCCACAAGTAATCCACACGACTCCAGTCCATCCGTTAATGTCTTGTGGAGTGAAAAGCTGTGTTTGTAAGAAACAAGTCCATCTTTAAGGGTTTTTAACTTTAAACCATTGCTTCTGGCTAATTTAAGAGTCCTCTAATATTGCTTTTTCCAATGAAAAAGTCATCTCCTCTAAATCAGGAGAGAAATATGCACAGATCAAGCACGGGTTACAAGCAAAAACAGTTCTGAACATGTTATTATGTATTATTGGCCCAAGTAATGTTTAAAGGTAAAATGCCTGATGGATTTTTTTTTTATATAAATAGCAAACACACTGAAGCCTTTCACTTCACAAGACGTTAATTGATGGGCTGGAGTTGTGTGGATTACTTTGTCTAAATTTCTCCAAATCTGTTCTGATGAAGAATCAAACTCATCTACATCTTGGATGGCCTGCGGGTGAGTGCTTTTTCAGCAAATTTTCATTTGTGGGTGAACTGTTCCTTTAAGAATATATTTGAAAGATATTTTCAGGACATACTCCTGAGGCTGAAGTTCTTCATTATTGATGGGGTCAGAACTCAACGCTCCAGCACCCTGGCCGTACCCATAACCTTTTGGACCATATTTCTTGCCATAGCAGGATTTGCAGTAAATCTCAGACTCGTGTGCTGCAACTGTTGTGCTGTCTAAACCTTTACGGCAAGCCACTAGAGAACAGAAAGTTGACAGTAAAATATGACAGTAAAGACATATAATACCGCATTTTATCTGCATTTATTTGATTTTTAAAAAACGCAGTAAAAACAGTAATGGAATATTATTACAATTTAAAATCGTTTTTTTAATATTAAATATTTTTTTAAATGTAATTTATTCCTGTGATGACAAAGCTTTATTTTCAGCATCATTACTCCAGTCTTCAGTGTCACATGATCCTTCAGAAATCATTCTAATATGCTGATCTGATGCTCAAGAAACATTTCTGATTATCAGTGATGAAACCAGTTGGACTGCTAATAGAAACTGTGATACATTTTGTTATTTAGGATTCTTTGATGAAAAGAGTGTTCAAAAGAACTGCATTTATTTGAAATAGATGTTTTGGTTTTTTTTGCAATTTAAAATCTCCTATTGTCGGATTTGTTGTGAGAGACCGAGGGAGTCTAGAGTTGGAGCGTGATCTCACTGCTCCTCCAGAGGGCTGTCATCTCCTGTCTGCATTCGTCAGCTGCTGCACTTTCAGCCAGGACGGCTCAAGAGGCTCATGGGAGCTTGTCTTTGAATCTAATTTTGGGCTGGATGAACAAGAGGCTCTGGGAGGCCAAAGCATCCCGGCCAATGTCATCCGCAGCAGATGGAAACAGGCCCTTGAATGGTGGTGAACTGCAGGGGTGTTTGTGTTAGCAGTCTCAGACTGACTGACTATCATCACCCTTCCTGGCAGGACTCAAGCGTTTAAGAGTTAATGCTGCACTACTGAAAGCGGTCTGCTCACTGGGAAACATTTCAAACAGTACTTTTGCTTTTGATGGCATTTTCGTCCCCCCAAATCCCTCCCAATCATCATCATTAGCTCTTTTTGCATATATTGACTATATGTTAAAAATTCTGACATTATTAAATATTCTGACATAAGCAGATACATGAAGAAGAAATGAGTGAGGGTTATCGTTAAACTAAAACTAACACCATAAAAAAACATTACTTGAAATGAAAAAATAAACATGAACTATTTTTAATAAAAAGTAAAAACAAAAGACAACATTTCTCATTTTCATTATTTTAAGTTGAAGTACTAAATTAACTAAAGCTAAATAAATTCAAACACTTGTAATGACAAAAACACAACAAAATTAATAAAACGAACTCAAAACAGAAAATATAAAAATAAAATCTAATTTATAATTATAATAATAGTGATAATAAAATAACACTCCTGGGAGCTTATTGCGCCATCCTAATATATACTGATGCTATTAAACAAAACATTTGATAGTTGAATATAAAATTAAAGAGTAAATATACTAAAGGACCAAAGGGTGCACATGTTTATATTTTTTAATAATTAGTTTAGTTTAGTTTTTCATTTTGCTCTTCTTCCCACTGTTTATTTTTTCTTTTGTTTATATACATTGTTATGCTTTATTGTTTGTTTGTTTAACATACCTTAAAGGGTTAGTTCACCCGAAAATTTTAATTAGGCTGTGTTTTACTCACCCCCGATGCCTCCTAGGTGTATATGACTTTCTCCTTTCAGACGAATCCAGTCGGAGTTATATAAAAAAATGGTCTTTGATCTTTCAAGCTCTATCGTTGTACTCAGCGGGTGTTGCTGTAGTAAAACACAGCCTAATTTTCATTTTTTGGATGAACTAACCCTTTAAATGAGCTAAAACGGCTCTGTTCATAATGCTTTTATTTGTATCATTTACCTGAAAGATCTGGTGATGTGTCATCTTAAGGAAAATCTTAACCCTCTCTGAACTTGGTTTCATTGATTCTGATATTTAATATACCCCCTTTTTTACTTTCAGGTAAGAGTAGCATTCAGTTTACTAACGTTTTGTGGACTTACTGCAGATGAAGCAGGTTTTGTGGAAGCTCCGGCTGTTGCACTGGATCTCCTCAGCATGGTAAACCGTCTTCTCGCAGGCCGCACATTTGGCTCCTCCACCCCAGTTTGGCATCTTCAGCTCTGGCAGAGACTCTGACATTCACACGGATGGGAAGAGAGACAATCTAACCAAGACTGCCAAAAAAACACTGACTAGAAAGAATGAGTGTTCAAATCACTCATTCAAAATGCATCTTTTTCATTTGTTTAACACTGAGAGAAAAGCTGACTTCCTTCATTTATGTGGTATGTGACAGGTCAGATATAAAAATAGATGTATCCTATCTCAAAGTAATATGCCTCTTTCTGTCTCATCTCTCAGAGCAGCAGAATATCACCTCACTCGTGTGGAATGCAATGATAAGGGTCCAGAAATAGGTCTTTTATTAGTGCCACTGCCAGCTTACAAGAAGTGACTGCTTTGTAGTGTGACTAAAAGAATACTGTACCAATTCTTTAAAACCTATTTTAAAATGTACATTACCATTCATTTGGGTTTAAAATGTTTTGGTCTCTCATGTTTCTTATGTTCACCAAGGCTGCATTTATGTAAGTGAAAATACAGTAAAAACAGTAATATTGTGAATATCACTACAAATGATATATTTTCAAATGTAATTTATGCCTGTGATGCAAAGCTGCATTTTCAGCATCATTCCTCCAGTCTTCAGTGTCACATGATCCCTCAGAAATCATTCTAATATGCTGATTTGCTGCTCAAGAAACATTTTTTATAATTATCAATGTTGAAAAACAGTTGTGCTGCTTAATATTGTTTTTTGTGGAAACCATGATACAGTTTTCTTTGATGTTTCCTTTCTGAATCATAGTAATTTCTTTCAAATAATAAAACCCCAAACTTTTGAACGGCAGTGTAACTTTATTAATCTCATATTGATATCCTATTATACACATATTCTACTTTGTAAGAAGAAAAAGTTTCGTAATGTCACGACTATTGTAGAAATATTCATTAGTAACTCTTTCACATAACAGACAATATCATATAAACTCTCATTAAAAAGTCATTAACAGAGATTATGTGTAACAGATAATAATTTGATGTAGAATCAAATATAAATATATTTCATGCTCTTTGTTAGAACGGGAATGTTTTAGTATTATCTGTTTTTATATTATAAATTATTATACGGTGTAATTTCATTTTTGTTGATTTTATTGATGAAAGCCATAAGAATTACCCAATCCCCATTACTCAATAAATAAAATAAAACTAATTAAAATAACTACTGAATCCTCTAAAATCACTTTACAACGGGCTTATTTCCAATGCATGCTTGTATGTAAAATATTTACATTACAGCACAAATTATCAAGCCATGGATAGACATAAAAATCAAATGTTTGAATTCTACTTACACAGGTTATATAAGAAATCTTTTTTCTGGAAATGATGCTTTCACCTCTGTCCAGCTCAGGGTCCTGATGATGTCCATTTCTGACCCTCTTTGGCGAGTCTTTATATACTGGGCATCTCTCACACACACACACACACACACACGTCTGGTCAGCTATCCTTATGGGGACTCTCAGAATTGCACATATTCTGAAAAATGATAACTTTTAGACTTATTAGTAACAATATTTCTCCCCAAATATTTAATTTAATAATTATTTGTCTTATTTCTTTAGTTCTTTTTAAGTCAGTGGAATATGAATGGAATTGTTAGCCAAAATGCCGGATATGCTCTTTGGCATATAATGACAATGCGAATATACTGCAAAATATTGCAAAAATCATTAAAGTGTTCCTATTCCTGCGCGGCATTCCATGTCTTCTATAGCTATCGTCGAGATTTCTGTGAGGAAGTACAGGCTTTAACTCGCCGTTCACTGAAAATATTGCATTGCTTATTTACATAAGGAAGCATATGTAAATGTGTTTACATCTAGCCGGAAGTGCCGCGCGCTTGATACCATATAAGGAGAAGAAGGGGGAGGAGAAACTGCGCAAGATGCTGAAGATGGAGATGTGCTTTATGTTCTTGCACTTCTTTATTTTGTAAATGCTTTTTTTGGATGCTTTATATGATACAGTGAATGTCTGTAAGATTTTGTACTTCAATAAAAAAAAGAAAAGAAAAGGCTGGGTATTGATATTCTTTGATATTCTTTTCAAACCCCAACCTTTTTTTTTTCAATTACAAGACTGTCAAGTCCAAAATATAAAGATGCAATCCCGCGCGCTGTTAACTCTAGCTAAATATTGAAGTTTATTAACAAACGCAACGTTTCGGTCCACTGACCTTCATCGGGCATAACGTTGCTACATACGTTAATAAACTTCAATATTTAGCAAGAGTTAACAGTGTGCGGGATTGCATCTTTATATTTTGGACTTGACAGTTTTGTTGGACCTTTTTTCCTACGCACCTATGTTTTTTTCAGAGTGTGTGTTGATTCAATTACAAGACTGAAATGCATTGCTGTCTGTGAAGATGTCAAAGTGCTGTCCAAGCTGATAAACAAGTGCTTAAAGCGGCACTATGTAACTTTTTCTGTGTTCAAAATTTGCATCATGAATTCATCTTCCAAACCGCGTTTTTGTCTTATTCCGAATCACTCCGGTACACTTATAATAAGTACTTGTATTCGGACTATTGCATCCTGGTCGGGTCGTCGCCGCTGCGGAGTAACACATGCCTGCGTGAATCGCCAGAGACATAAACTTAGAGAAGTAGCTCCGGTAGGAATGTTTCATCCGCGGGATCTATTGTTTATAGTGCTGCATTGACATCAACCGGCCTCGTGGCCTAATGGATAAGGCGTCTGACTTCGAATCAGAAGATTGCAGGTTCGAGTCCTGCCGGGGTCGCTTCTTTTGGGACATTGTTATATGCCGGCATATAAAATAAAACAACAGCCAAACCAGCCGCCAATACTCATCTAACACACCTGAACCTGTTGACTCAGGTATTCAGGATTACCTAAACATGCCAGACAGGTGTGTTGTAATAGGATTGGAACTGAAATTGTTCCAATGGTGAGAAACAGACTAAATGCATGGCTTATAGCATATCTCAACTGCCTGGTTTTTTTTAGTTGCAAAATGTTACTATATTATTGCCCAACACTTTATATAAAGTTGGATGAAAGTTTGCAAGTACAAATGAAATTGACTTGATTATGTTCAAAGTTAGGGTTACCTTAAAGTGATGATGGTGAGTTTAATCTTCATTGTTCTACTGATTTTAATATGACAATATGATATGTATTAACCGTTAACCACATGAAACAATGCATTTCTGTATCTTGATCGATTAAGATTATAAAGTGTCGGTCTAAAGTAGTTCTAAAGGCACGTTCAAAGTATATAAAGGTCATTTTCACATTGGAACTGGTGGTTAAAGATGGTTATCACAAAGGTTTAACAACAAAAAAGCAAGGAGCTCTAGGATCTTTGGATTCATTGAAATATGCTGATTCACTAAAATGAATCAATACTAGAAGACGTTCACAAAGATAAAGCACTTTTAAATAGCGGAAGGCAATTCCGCTAAACATTTCACCAACTATTAAGTAAACACAAGAGTGGAGCACATTCATTTATCTTTATTATTCCATAGAAATCAGATCAAATAAATGATGTGCAGATAATAATATTACTAGATTTTATTAACATAAAATACATCTACAATATTTAATAACACCCTTAATCTAACATTCTCCCATATTAATACGTCATAACACAATGCCAGGTTATGGCAATTTAATATACTGTGGTACTTTAACACTTTAAGGCAATGCCACACGCAACACTTTAAAAAAATCTGAATTTGGCAATTCCTAGAATCCCTGAAATTAGAATTTTAGACAATTTTTTTTGTCTTTTTGTTAATTCTTCCTTTTTTTTAACCAAAAATTTACGGCATATAAAAAAAAAAAAAAACCCTGCATTGTGCTTTTATTTTGCAAATAAACCCTCAACTTTCATGTCAAATAGCACCGTGTTTGCTGTCCTGCCTTCCTCAAGAGCCTCGGCAGTAAAAAGAATGAAGCACCACAGATTCATATGAAGTGAATGCAGACCCTACAGTAAAGTAACAGTATAAAAAGAGAAAAACATAAAAATGCTCAAAGACATATAACAAGCACACACAATGGCTCAAACAGAACAGTGGTTTTTAGCAGCGTGCGGACTGCAGGTGTGATGATGGTCAGTGTGAAGGTCTTCGGTGTCCCCTGGACTCACATCAAGCTTTCTCTGAGGGATGTAGAGGTTCCTGGGAGCCGCAGTGTTGGTTACAGTAGGGAAGGAGACGGGTGTGTGAAAGAAACTCTGCTGGAGGTGTTGACAGGCACCTTTAGGTGTGGTTACTAAAGGCTGCAGGAGAAAGAGAGTAAATATGCAAATGACGGTTTTAAACGACAAAGGACTACTCGCACAAACCCAGGGAGGCTCCAAGAAAAATGGAATTTACACTATTGGTCAAAAGCTTGGAGTCGGTGAGATTTTTAAATGTTTTTCAAAGTCTCTTATATGTTCACCGAGGCTTATTTGATCAAAAATCCAGTAAAAACCGTTATTGTGAAATATTATTACAGTTTTAAAGAACTGCTTAAAGAAATGTAATTTGAATATATTTTCAAATGTAATTTATTACTGTGATGTGAAGCTGAATTTTCAGCATCATTACTCCAGTCTTCAGTAGGGCTGCCACGAATTACTATATTTCGATTAATCTAAACGATTAATTTTCCGCCCCCAAAAAATCAACAATTTTACTTAATATTTTATTAAACTATATTTCATTAAACCAAATGAAATCCAAAAGTAAAGTGCAACAAAGTGCAAGAAGCAAGTGTCCATCTCATGGTCCAAATCACTGAAATCAAAGTGCAGTATTATAGTGTAAGAACGACAACATATCCACAGGTTCTAGTCTACTAATAATAAAATGATAATCAAAAAACACATTTTTTTTAAAGGAGTATTTACCAGAAATATTATTTACCAGAATTTATTTAGGAGAAAAATGTAAATGTGCAGTATTTTGGAAAAAATAAATAAAATCAATTAATTGGATGCTTTTGATTATTAAAATGTAATGGAACCATTAAAATGGAATCCAGAAAATAATGGAAAACAGAATTTGGTAAAGATAAAACTGTAAAACTCAATTAATTAGAGACATGCTTTTTGATTAATAAAATGTAATTTAACCATTAAAACAGAGTATAGAAAAATTAAAATGGACAAAACTGAATATGGAAATAAAACGGATTTCATAGGGCCCTATAATTATAATACATTTTGTGGTAATAAAAATAGATGTAAGTGAACAATAGCCTTTAAAATTACTTAAAATACATATAGCAATGAGGCAATAATAATTAGTTCAAGTAAAGTATCAAAAGCAAGAAATCATATGGTTTTATTGGAATTTTATTTTTTTAATACATAATGTATTATAAACAAAAGAGCTAATGTACATTACGCATTACAACAAAGGCCTGCAGAGGGCGCCAACGGCCCGATGATTCTTTTTACACATTACTGTGCGATCTAATCCTTGTTTAATATTGACTAAGCATCATTTCGTTCAAATGTCCACTTAAACTTTAATATTTGGCCATTTCTTCAGGACAGAAATGCTATAGCCACTGCTAATTCATTAAATGAATATGTGGACATCAAAACGTGTAAACTCAGAGTGAGGGTTTGAGCTTTTATTTTAAAACTGCGATGTATTCTCCTGTGTTTGCGTAGATTTATAAATGATTTAGCTTACAAATCTGATGAAATGGCGCACGTTGCGTTCCCAGATGAACATTATAATAAACCCAAACTCACAACAACATGCAGAGATGGAGTTTGAGATGCTCCACACATGTAAACGATAACACTTCCTGTGGAACTACTGTGAACGGAGCCGCTGTGTGACTCACGTACTTAACCTACACGCAAGTAAATAATTAAAGCGCATATACTGTATTAGAACTGTATCACAAATAATTAAATCATAGCTTAATTGTGATTTTTAAATGGGTTTAATATATCATGCAGCCTTGGAAAACAGACTAATAATGTGTTTTATACATTCTCGTCCGTGAAATGCGGCACTTCCAGTATTCCGGTATTAATGACGAATCGCGACAGCCCTAGTCTTTAGTGTCACATGATCCTTCAGAAATCAGTCTGATATATGCTGATTTGCTGCTCAAAAACATTTTAGTTATTATCAGTGTTGCCGCTTAATATTTAAGTGAAAACCACTATACATCAGGATACTTTGATTAATAGAAAGTTGAATGAAAAGAACAGCCTTTATTTGAAACGGAAATCTTTTGTAAGATTATAAATGTCACTTTTAATCAATTTAATTCAGTCTTACTGAATAAAAGTATTAATTTCTTTAAAAAGTAATGAAAAAAAAATCTTACACCAAACTTTTGAACTGTAACGTAGGTCAAACTAAATTTTATTTTTAAGCAATAGGAAAACTAACTTTAATGTGACTTGAATGGGCACATAATAAAATGCTTTTTTTATAGAAATCCTTGATATTTTATCATCGGCCAATACTGGTGTCTTTTGAAGGCAAAAAAGATTTTATTTTTCTAATCCAATTTTTCTAAAAACAGTTAAGAACAACAGTTAACCATTTTGTCCAATGTAATATTTGAACTAAATATAATATTATCATTTCACTTAAACTATGTAAAACTAGATTTGGATTTTTACAACAGTGGATTGCTGACTGTACATTATCCCTTAACGCTATACTTTTGTTCCATATTGTTGCATAGTTGGCAGTGGCTGTACCTGTGGTATGCTGATGAGGGTGACGGGCTGTCCGTGTATGGAGGCCGGCTGCAGAGCTCGGGCAGGTGAGATGGGCTTCACAAAGATCATGCTCTGTGGAGGGAGCCCCGGGTGGGGAGATGGAAGCGAGCTGGCCTGTTCAGGAGTGGAGTTTGGTGTGCTGGTGCCGGGGATAAGGCCCAGGTTCTGCAGGGTGAAGTTGAGAATGGCAGGACTGGGGCTGTGGATGCGATGCCCTTGAGAAGGGAAGGGAGAGATGGACGGTATCCGGTTCAGAGGGAGTCGGGTGGGGGTGATTTCTTGAGGAAGAGGAGGCCTGGAACCTGGAAAGAACGGATACATCTGTGATTGATCGTGCAAGTTTACCTGCATTTCATTGACACATGAATAGTGCTCCGCACAAGAACCTTGTACCTCAGCTAATGATCACTAGCTAGGTTTCCATCCAAATGTGAATTAGGTGCATTTCCATCAAGTTGTTCGAGTGGCTGACTGTGCTATTGGTAACCTAGTAAATAAACCTAGTAACAACAGTAAATAAAAAAATGGAAAGACACCAGCCGATCGGACTAATTGGAAGCTACTGTATTAGAACTGTATCACAAATAATTAAATCATAGCTTAATTATGATTTTTAAATGGGTTTAATATATCATGCAGCCTTGGAAAACAGACTAATAATGTGTTTTATACATTCTCGTCCGTGAAATGCGGCACTTCTGGTATTTTGCCGGTTAGTCGACGTGAGCAAAATGTTAGTCGAGGATTTTTAAAAAATCGAATAGTCGAATTAAATCGACGAATCGCGACAGCCCTAGTCTTTAGTGTCACATGATCCTTCAGAAATCAGTCTAATATATGCTGATTTGCTGCTCAAAAACATTTTAGTTATTATCAGTGTTGCCGCTTAATATTTAAGTGAAAACCACTATACATCAGGATACTTTGATTAATAGAAAGTTGAATGAAAAGAACAGCCTTTATTTGAAACGGAAATCTTTTGTAAGATTATAAATGTCACTTTTAATCAATTTAATTCAGTCTTACTGAATAAAAGTATTAATTTCTTTAAAAAGTAATGAAAAAAAAATCTTACACCAAACTTTTGAACTGTAACGTAGGTCAAACTAAATTTTATTTTTAAGCAATAGGAAAACTAACTTTAATGTGACTTGAATGCAGTATTCCGGTATTAATCCGAATAGTCGAATTAAATCAAGATTATAAATGTCACTTTTAATCAATTTAATTCAGTCTTACTGAATAAAAGTATTAATTTCTTTAAAAAGTAATGAAAAAAAAAATCTTACACCAAACTTTTGAACTGTAACGTAGGTCAAACTAAATTTTATTTTTAAGCAATAGGAAAACTAACTTTAATGTGACTTGAATGGGCACATAATAAAATGCTTTTTTTATAGAAATCCTTGATATTTTATCATCGGCCAATACTGGTGTCTTTTGAAGGCAAAAAAGATTTTATTTTTCTAATCCAATTTTTCTAAAAACAGTTAAGAACAACAGTTAACCATTTTGTCCAATGTAATATTTGAACTAAATATAATATTATCATTTCACTTAAACTATGTAAAACTAGATTTGGATTTTTACAACAGTGGATTGCTGACTGTACATTATCCCTTAACGCTATACTTTTGTTCCATATTGTTGCATAGTTGGCAGTGGCTGTACCTGTGGTATGCTGATGAGGGTGACGGGCTGTCCGTGTATGGAGGCCGGCTGCAGAGCTCGGGCAGGTGAGATGGGCTTCACAAAGATCATGCTCTGTGGAGGGAGCCCCGGGTGGGGAGATGGAAGCGAGCTGGCCTGTTCAGGAGTGGAGTTTGGTGTGCTGGTGCCGGGGATAAGGCCCAGGTTCTGCAGGGTGAAGTTGAGAATGGCAGGACTGGGGCTGTGGATGCGATGCCCTTGAGAAGGGAAGGGAGAGATGGACGGTATCCGGTTCAGAGGGAGTCGGGTGGGGGTGATTTCTTGAGGAAGAGGAGGCCTGGAACCTGGAAAGAACGGATACATCTGTGATTGATCGTGCAAGTTTACCTGCATTTCATTGACACATGAATAGTGCTCCGCACAAGAACCTTGTACCTCAGCTAATGATCACTAGCTAGGTTTCCATCCAAATGTGAATTAGGTGCATTTCCATCAAGTTGTTCGAGTGGCTGACTGTGCTATTGGTAACCTAGTAAATAAACCTAGTAACAACAGTAAATAAAAAAATGGAAAGACACCAGCCGATCGGACTAATTGGAAGCAGCTGATTAGTCACGTGGGTTTAATGTTTGCTACTTCAGAATTTATTTGGCAAATGCGTTTCCATCTCCCATTATTCACATTAACTCTTGTTTAAGTCAAAAACCTCCTCAAGCGAACGTAAAAAAAAAGGGGATATTTTCTCTCTCGAAATTTGGCATTTCCATCACTTGACTTCAAAATGCGCACAAAAACAGGGTGATGGAAACATAACTACTGAATGTTGCTAAGCTAACAAACCTAACAAGTAGGCTTGCCGTGATAGACGGTGCTGATGGTGATACCGGTGTTAAGCCGCAACACCGGTTACGTCACCTGCCCACCGCATCACCGACCCCCACCGTCGTTTTGATTTTTTATAGTAATAAAAATAATTTAGTTTAGTAAAAGAACAGACACTACAATTAAAAACTGAACGCGGCTGCTCAATGCAGCGTGCCGAACAACAGCATCACAGATCAGATTTCATTTCTCTAGTGAGGAGAGTGAGTCGAACTGACTGACAAGAAGAGTGAAGTGAGACAGACAAGACGATCGCGGATTGTTTAGTTAAGAAACGAGATGCAAAAGCGCCTGTTTGGCAATATTTTGGATTTTGAAAAGCCTGTTGACTTTTGCCGTTTATCTAAGGTGATTTTGGAAGTTTTTTTAAACATTCGTTTCTTATTTGATTGGTTCCACATTGTTTGCTAATTTTTACTTTATTTAAACTTAGTGTCATTTATTTATTTTATTTGACATTCGTTTTGCTAATAAACGTTCTACGTTTCTTATTTATTTGGTTATATATTATACATGTTTACTTATTTCCAGTTGTGTATTCCTATTTAAACTTTATGTAAGTTATTTGTCATTTTATATTAGGCATAGCCTGCCCTATAGCATGGTGTATTTTTATTCATTTTGTTAATAAAAGTTTTATATATATATATATATATATATATATACGTTAAAGTGAGTTTGACGTTGTATTTTGTTGTTGCATTCAAGCAATTGACGCCTAACTGCC